ACTCCAGTCCTGATGGGAGGTCAATAGTGTCCTTGGAACTTCCCATCCTACCCCATGGGTCCTGTCTGGGTTTCTCCAGCTTCCCACTTTTCTGTCCTTAAAATGATGCTGTACTTTGACGTACAGTTTGAAATTTTAAAAAAGCAAAAAAGATATGATATTAAAGACTCAACCAAGAACCTATACAAAAATGAAAGTCCCAGTGAAGGGGTGGCTTACCTGTGCAGGACACACCAGTTCTGAAGGCATCAGCCCATTCTACTGAGGATAGTTTTACCTCCAGAAGAGAGACAATGAGGCATCTTCATTGCAAAGGTGGAAGTGAGTCTCCCTCCAGAGCAATGCCTGCCTTATGTACGAGGTAACGTCCTAACAGCAAGGAACGCTGTTACTTCATATAAGTATCAGATGACAGTGCCTGGGATGAGGAAGAAAGTATTTGATGCCATAGTAAATTTTAGTAAATTTCTAAAAAAAAACAAACCCAGGTTCCATCTCAGGGAACCACCTGAAGCTCCCCCAGGGAAACCCCAGAAAAATCTCATGAGGCTGGACGTGTCCTGGAATCCTGGGACTTACCCAAAACACACTGGAAAGCAACAAATGGACAGGGTCCTGAGGGAGAGCAGAGAGCGGCGGGGGCCCTAACATGGGGGAAGCACACACCCAGGCCCCTAGTCAATTTTTAAGTAAGAATCATTTTAGAATTTCCTGTTTAATTTTTAACTTAAGACTCCACAAAAGCTTTATTTAAAATCCAAATCTCTGCTGAGATGGGTTTTTGACAGATATGTACCTTTTTGAAAAGTTACAGCCGATTCACTGCGGTTTTTCACTGTAGCTCCAATACACTGAGGACTCATTATTCTAAATAATTATGCAGCCATAATAAATGAACGAACATAATGTATGCTTTTAGGGAGAAAGCGATGGGTGGCAGGAAAGGAATTAAGAGGAATATGGCAATTTTTTCATTTATTTTCTTTTACTTCAGATTTTGCCAGGAAAAAATGTCAATATTCTTTTGCTATTTGGGTTGTTTTTCCTTGTTTTTAAAATGGGACTGGCAAGACTGTAGATTGAAAATGTGAAGTTTACGGCTGCCAAGAAGAACAGGAATTAAGATCGTTTTGTGTGTAAATACACTGAACAAACACTCTACCTGGAGTTCTGTGGGAAATCCAGGGTATCTTTGAGCCACTTCAGCATTACCACTCGACTTGGTGGTCCCCGTTTCTCTCCAGCACTCCCTGTGTCTCCAAATATCTATTTGATTCCCTCTTTCAGATCCATAAAAAATTAAAATGAGGTACCTGGGTTAAAGGGGCATTGAGCTGATGCTATCTAGTATTTCTCATTTCTTGGTTTTAAAGGAGAACAAGTGCTCAGGAGAGCGTGTGCATTTTAGAGCATGTTTTTCTAAGCTGACATACAACCGACCACATTGTGACTTAATGGGTGTTATGCTCATAAAATGTGAGTAAAACAACAAATACCTTGAGAAGAGCTGCTGTTCTGCCTCCAGTGGAAGCCTGGACCGTGCAGTCCAACCCACGGCCATGAGCAATCTCACACAGGTTCAGCTCGAGGTTCAACTCGAGGTCTTCACAAATGTTCCACAGGCAGAAGAGGAAAATGAGGTTGGGGATGGAAACCCTGGGAGCAATCAGGAGAGCTGCATTCTTAGAGCAGATGCATCTCTAGAGAGCTTAGTGGGGTCGGCAACGGGACCTGATATTCTCCCCTAGGAAACATGGGAATCAAATCAGATGCTTCTGAGCTCCCTTCTTACTCCATATTTCTGAACTTCTGTTTCATATTTGCTGACCCCGAGCTATTCAATACAGAGCATGCGTAGCTGCATACCAGAGACATTGACGTTCTGCTCACAGCACAGAGTACAACACAAGATTAGTTTATGGACATAAAGGAGAGAGTAAGTGGGGTGGGGGGGCTGGCCTGCAGCCAAGGTTAGAATTAAAGTGCACCCAGGCTGTGCTCCAATAGATGTGTTAGTTTGACTTTTTATTTACTTTTCTACATCCGTAGGAAATGTTATTTGATATTAGCAACTGAATTTCAAATGGTATTAGTATTAGTTCAGCTGCATGTCATATTTTGTTACCATGAACTTTAAAGAGCTCAGTAGAGAAGAATGAGGAAAACTGTGGTTATCATTTCTAATAAGAGTGAAGGACCCAGAATGGTAGAAGCAGGTTACTCTAGACAAGAGAGTGAGTAAGTAGGACAGCCTCCCAAGGGTTACTGCAAAGCAATAACTTAGAGAAGAGACTGATCTAAGTCTCAAAATATACAATACAGTCAGGATCTTACGTCAGCTAGTGAAGGTTTTGCAAGCCAAGGCTGGTGATAATGACTCCAAGTAGGAACTTGTTACAACAATCCATGACAGTGAGAGGATTGGAGGCAGAACCGAGAGAGAGAGAGAGAGAGAGAGAGAGAGAGAGAG